CGAAACATTACACGTGAAGCTTTATTCAAATAAATTTAGTGTTCAATTCACCCTATCATTAATGAGATATATGCGAAGAAGGAAAACTCCAACCCTAAATAAACATAATGAAATAATTTGTAAATTAATTTTGTAGTTAATGATAGATTCGAGTAATACAAAATGGGAGACCAAGAATTATTTTGTATCGGTTTACTCAAATATTAATTTTAAAAATTGATATAATTTATTGTAAATATATCTTTTGCTTTTATTGATATAATATGAAACGAAAATATTTAAAATAAATAAACGTTCACGTAATAAGACAACATATATAGATCGAAGTTCGAACTCATATCATCCCGAACAGTCGAAAACACATTTGCAGCTATATCCAATCTTCTGAAGTTGAATACAAGTTCCATGACCTTGGTATTTATCTCTGCATTCCGATATGCAGAATGGAGGATCGCATTGGCCTGGATCTATTATTCTCTCACATGATTTTCCATCAGCTACAAAAACTGCTAATATTATGAGGAAAAAAAAAAGTGTATTGGTAATCTCAGTATATTAAAATAATTATATCTATACGTACAAACATATATACATGCACGTATATTCAATATGTTTCAATCTTCTTTTGTTTTTTTGTAGCGTTGAAGACAAAAAATTTTAGCACTACAAATAAGTATACGATGATAATTGACTGTAAGAGAACAGAATAATTTGACTGGAGTTTCAGGACTTGTAGTAGGAAGAATATATATGTATATATGCATGTATACATGTGTGTATATATATATATATATATACGTGTATCAAGTTAATTATCATATACAACTTTAAACAAAGAACTGAATACATATACAACTTCAAACAAAGTAAGCAAACCTGAGAAAACAATGGCCAAAACCAGAAGAAGAATGTGAGATTGTTTTGCCATCACTTCACAAATTATAGTAATGATAACCAGTTGGTGTTCTAAATATATAGATACAGATGACTATCTATATATGAAAATATGGTAATGAGTATTCAATATTAATTAATATATATCCGGTGTAACTTTAGAAAAAATCGTAGGTAAAAGATTGGTAAAATATATATATGTATATATATATATTTTTTCAATGGTCAAAATATTATTTCTCATACTTTAAATTATATCCTATTGTGTTATGAAATTCTATTATGGACCGAGATAGTGTTTGATTTGTTGCTTTTAATGCAAGTAAATAAATAGATATTTTGTAACAAAAATGTATTTCATATATATATATATATATATATATCCCAATATAACATGAAGAACAAATTGTAGAGGAAAAATTAGTACAATCTTGTTTTATTTACTTATTCGATTTTTTAATCAACTTGCTATTATTGATGTTTTGAAAATAAATAAAAATCATTTTTCTATTGATCGTATATTTATTTTTATTGTTTATTCAAATTCGTTATAACTAATATTAGTAAATATATTATGAATTTTATTTATTAAAATTATTTATATATTATTCGTTATATAAATTTCAGTTACTTTTGGTAATGAAGGAAAATTTTTTATTTTTCCAAATCCGGTTTCATATAATAATAAATCCTAAATTTTAAACAAATATTCTTTTTAAGTCTCGTTATTACAAAATCGAATTTTTTTTTTCTACCTATATTGAGAGCAAAACTAATGCACGTAGAAAATAAAATATTTTGTAACAAAAATATAAAAATTTAATTTTTATAAATGATACGTAAATAAAAATATCTTGTACGTTAATTTTTATTATAAACATTAATTTAAAACTGAAATGACTGAAATACAATATATTACTTGTAATACAGTGTAATTGCACAAACAATCGTAACAAGATAAAGTTATATAGTGTTCGTAACCCTATTTTTTTTTTTTAGGAAATAAAATATTTTGTAACAAAAACATAAAAAAATTTAATTTTTATAAAACGATACATAAATAAAAATATATTTTACG